TTTATATATGTATATAGGATTAGGTTTCAATAAAAAGAAACCCTTAGGTGAGAAATGAAAATGAATCTCAGCCGCTGGATTCGATCGTGTTACAGTAAAAAAATATCTTGGTACACTTAAATATGCAACCTGGCACTGTGACATTTTCGTAAACACTTCTCAATAATTTGTATTATATTTTTCTAGTGCAACATGAAGTTATTTTAATTTGGTGCAACATCGTCAAATTTTAGTGCAACATGAAATAATTTTAGTGCAACCTTATAAAACTTAAATTTTACAGCAACATGAAACTATTTTTGTGCAACATCATAAATCTAATGACAAAGATTTATTCTTATTTTTGAGATTATATGTATTTTTCACTTGAATGAACCAAATATGTGTGTGTGTGTGTGTGTGTATGCATATTTATATACTAAGACTAGTTGTTGTAACGCGCGTTGCGCGATGGAGATTGTGCCCAATGTGTTTTTGCAATAGGGATCATGTTCAATATGTTAGAGGGTGTGCACATGATATATGCTAGAGAAAAACGATCATGTTTGTGTAACAATGTGTGTAGAACATGAATTCCCTTTGCAATAACATTGAAACTGAATTCCCGAATAGAATAATGCGAAATATCATGATTGCATTATTGGTGTGTAATTTATTAAAATGGTAAGAAATAGACATAATATTGTATCACGGAAACAAACGTAGTAGTGTATCATGGGAAAACATGTTTATGCTTGTAGGAGCGATAACATTCAAAATGGAACATATTATTGCAAAAATGAAAGTATTAGAATGTAATAACATAGTTTGGCGAGTCGTGGAATGGTTAAGATTGTTGCGCAGTTTGCATCACACTGTTTTGATGTGTTTCACTGGAGGACTTGAAGTGCTTGTGCTTTCACTGGGTGCAGTGTGATTGGCATCATTTGCTTCATCCATCCTTATCACGTGTAGTGAAGACTCGTGCAAAGATGTTATGACATAAGATGTGCTTAACTTGCATGGATAGTTGTCTGTTGAATTCCAATTGTCTAGTGAAGACCTCAATTGAACTATGTACTCTTCCTTAGCAAGACGCTTGTTTTTGTATGGGAATGAAGTTTTTTTCCCCTACCAAGTACAAAATAATATCAATGAGTGGTTTCATATAGGATTTAAATCTAGTAAAAATTTAGATTTTGATAAATTACAATATATAATATAGTATTCATATTTCTTCAGGAACCAAATTCCGTAAGAGATTACCATGAGAATAAAAATTGTACTTTAACCTACAACAACACTCAATAAAATTTAATTCTCCTACATTCATTAAAATTTGGTTAAGCAGGCACATGTTCGTGAATATTCCATTTTTCAATGTTGTGAAGTCAATCCAGACTCAAGGGTACCATTTGTTTCGTTCTTACCCCCATTTATCATACCTTTGCCAAACATGTAACTATTCTAAGGCACAGAATGCTTATGAGTTTGAATGTCATGCTGGTTGAAAAACAAAACACCCAAATAATCACATACACCCTGACAATGGTAAGACCATTTATCAGATTGTCCAGGAGCTAAGAAGCACAAGAGAGAGTGAGCTGTTGCTATTGAGTCTATTACTGGCTTTCCTTTCAACCAAAAAGGTTTCAAATTATGGAAAGAATTATACCAAGCTGCTACTCATGAGCTTCGGTGGATCTATGGAAACGAAGGACTGAATTTGTGAGTTGTAATTCTGCGGAAGGAAGGGGGTCAGCGTTGATAAAGAATTCTATATTCATAAATGATAAATCTGTGTTTTTAGTCTTCCTGGGTTAGTTAGGCCATTAAGAAGTAACTTTTCATTCATTTTATGCCCCAAACAACATCTTCTAAGAAGTCACTTGGTTCTGTTTTTTAACAACCAGAGTAGTCCCATTAAAGCTTTTCTGGGTTTATAGTTTAGTAGCTTCTAAAAACTGTTTTTACTCACTTGCTTTTAGTTTTCTGAGTGTGAAGCTATTTTTTCATTAAAAAACATAGTGTAGGTGACTCAAGATATAAAAAAAATGCAACCTGAAATTTTTCTACTTGATCACAAAGGGATTATGTTTGACTTATAAAAGTCATGGATGCATCAATCCCTGCCAAAAGAAAGCAATAGGCAGTTTTTTTTTAAATCACACTCATTGACATGGATTAACTAATTCGTTGTATGAAAAAGTTATAAATGTATTTTTTACAATAGACAAAATTAGAAAAAGTGTAATGTTGAATAAAGCGGTACCTAACCTTGATTTCAACTTAACAACAACAAAAACCTTTTTTCCATTAACAAAATCATAGAAATATCTATGTAGTTCCTGAAGAAGACATCCTTTGCTTATTCTGAAATAGGAATCATAAATTCATAAGGCCGAATCCGTATGATGTATAATAATAGATTCCATGTTTAGATTCGGAAAACACTGTTTTAAATGCTACATAAATTGGTAATGTTAAGTGCTATTGTTGACCCAGGAATACCCGTTTATGCAAAAAATGTTACCAGAGGCCAATATCGGAGAATCCTTGAGGGAGGCTCACTGGCTCAGCGTGTGTCGGCGAAGCTAAGAGCCAGTCTGATTCGATCGAACGTATGGTCTTGTTCGGCTAAACTGCGGACAAAGAGGGAGGCTCAGCGTGTGTCGGCCAAGGGGAAATCCTGATTCGAATGCATGGGCCTGTTGGACTAAAGAGGAAGACGGAAATAGAAACGGGGCTGGTCCATAGAATATTAACGGACATTAACGGAGTGTTGGGATACAAAGCCAATTGAACATGAAAGTTTGCAAGCATTTAAACACTATGTACATGTCAACTATGCTTAGAATACCACCAACAAATTTTTTATACCCACAATACCCTAACCTTCATTCAAGCTTATTACATTGTAGAGATAAATATAAGAGTGCATCGATGATATTGGTGCCATTAATAAGAGTTTAAACAATTAAACCTTAATAACAATGAAGAAAGAGGACAGAGAAGTCCACCAAGGGCAATCATTAAACCCAACACTTGATTAACAACAATACTGATTTTGAACAAATGAAAATAATAGGAATTGTAGTGACACTATGTTGGGTGTTTGTCTATTCCCATTACAAAGCACTATGAATCCATGAAGTAATCCAGATTGAATTTGAAGTCAATTTTGATTGCATTATACTCGTATATAATATGTATACAGTTGGACATTAATAACATTATAGTACACCACTAATCTATACGGAGTAAATCCCATTCATAGGAAAGTGAAAATGACTTGTGTGTTTACCAAATGGGCACGAATTGTTGGCTGGGACATAAATAAACGCATTGGAGTGTAATGCAAAAATACATTATGTGAAACATGTACTCATTTGCTCTCAGGGGCGGATCGTAGTAGAGACTCGGGGGGCAGTCGCCCCTCCAACAATTTTTTTTTCGTGTATATATATACCAAAAAATAATTTTCATCCTCCCCAATTTTTTTTTAAAGTTACTGCCCTCCCAAGATAAAGTTTTTGGGTCCGCCCCTGTTTGTTCTCATAAAGTATGCATATTTCTACTATTAGACTCTTCATGATAGCGTCATCGTTTTAATCCCACGTCAACTCCTATTTAATTAGATTTTTTAAATATTTTATTCTTTTAATAGGACTAAGTTAAATAACTACCCTATTTTCGAGGAAAATATGTTTAATCATATTTTAGAATTTTTTCTACATTTTAGTTTTATACTCTCGAAAATCGTCCACTAGCCATTACGTTTTAAAGTGTACATATTGTGTGACACTGTGCCATGACAAAAAGATGAGGTAAACAAGTGAACTTAGAATGTTTTTAATTATATTACTTTTAGTCATAAATAAATTATACCATATCAAACTTAAATAATACCCCGTACTCTATAGTAAAATATAGGGAAAACTATCAAATAAGCCCCCGTACTATGTCGAAAAAGTCAATTAAGCCCTCGTACTTTACAAACACTCAATTCAGCCCTCGAACTATTAAAAAACGTTCAATTAAGCCCTTTTGGTCGGTAAGTAACCAGTTTCCCGGTTAAACGGCGACGACGGCGACGATGTGCTCGAACCCCAGCAACGGCGGCTGCCGGGAAACGGGTTACATTTAACCGGGAAACCGGTTACTTACCGACCGAAAGGGCTTAATTGAACGTATTTTAATAGTGCGAGGACTTAATTGAGTGTTTGTAAAGTACGAGGGCCTAATCGACTTTTTCGGTATAGTACGGGGGCTTATTTGACAGTTTTCCCTAAAATATAAATACACCAAACATATGCAAACAAGGCCATACCAAATCAGAGCATACTAAATCATACTCCCTCCGTCCCTAAATGTTGTTCCAATTGCGGATTACGAAGGTTGACCGACGATAAAGTTAAATGATCTATGTGAAAACTCGGATTATTTTTAGTAAATAAAATTTACATATTCAGAAATTACATTAAACTCGCTACAAAGTCTGCAAAAAATAATTCAACTTTTATAAAGTTTTGATATAAAAAGTAGGAGTTTAAGAGTGATTTAAGTTGACCCTCGATAAGCGAAATGGAACTTTTTTTAGGGACAGAGGGAGTACTAGAATTTCCGCCCCTGCTGCACCCCTAGGGCTGCCCTTGATTGTAATACGATTAAACTTTCTAGACTGTTTTGTCACTTTTTTTTGGTAGATTCTATGGTACCCATAAGGTACCATGTACCTACCTTTGTCCACATGAACCAATGAGAATGTTGCAGTTGAATTATTTAAATCTAAATTAAAAGTGATAAAGTGACGTGGTCTAATAAAATGAATGATACATACGGTACCTCATTTTTTAAAAGGGTATCGGGGTTGTCACTTTTTTTTTGTAAAACTTCAAAATGTCACCTATTAAAACTTTATAAGTAATATTTGTGCCATTTATTTGGAAATTTACGACACCAAAATATAAGAAAAGTACTCTAAAAATCAGAGTTTGTGACCTATATAATGAATCTACCATTGGCGGCATATAGTACTAAAAACAGAAGCTCTAACATAGAAACAAAATGCTTAAATTTGTAGAGATGACTCTAGTAGTTACTATGTTATCAAAACTTCTTCAAGCCTCATTGGCGCAAAAACAGTCATTTATCGTTCATATGGCGGAACCGGAAATGCCCTCCGAATTCCTCCATCAAGCTCACTGGTATGACTCCGCTCTCAAATCGGTGTCTGAATCGGCGGAGATGATCTATGTCTACACAACGGCGGCGCACGGATTTTCCGCCAAGCTCACAGAGCAAGAAGCTCTGTTTCTCGAAACTCTGCCCGGCGTCGTCTCTGTTCAGCCGGAGAGGAAGTACCAGCTCCACACCACCAGAACGCCGTCGTTTCTGGGACTGGTTGATTACCTTTTACCCGGATCCGCTGCTGAAAGTGACGTTGTCATCGGAGTAGTCGACACCGGAGTCTGGCCGGAGATTAAGAGCTTCGACGACCGAGGACTGGGTCCGATCCCAAGCCAGTGGAAAGGAACGTGCGAGACGGGAACCAATTTCACCGCATCGAATTGCAACCGGAAACTGATAGGTGCGAGGTTCTTTTCCAAAGGGTACGAGGCAAGTCAGGGGCCGGTCAACGAGACTCTGGTGAGCAAATCTCCGCGGGACGATGAAGGCCATGGGACCCACACAATCTCCACCGCCGGAGGATCGCCTGTTCAGCACGCCGGCCTGTTCGGTTACGCCGCCGGAACTGCTCAGGGCATGGCCAAGAACGCAAGAGTCGCAGCATATAAAGGCTGCTGGAACGACACTTGTTATAGTTCTGATGTTTTGGCGGCCATGGAAAGTGCCATCGAAGACGGCGTGGATATTCTTTCCTTATCTCTCGGCAGTGGGTCTGTTGACTACTATGATGATGTCATTGCCATCGGAGCATTCGCCGCCGTGGAGAAGGGAATTGTGGTTGTTTGCTCCGCCGGGAACGATGGTCCTAGTCTATACACCGTGTCCAACATGGCACCGTGGATCATCACTGTCGGTGCCGGGACTCTTGACCGTGATTTCCCGGCTCCGGTAACCCTCGGTAACGGAACTAAACTTCCAGGTGTTTCTCTTTACAATAACAAAGCTGTTCCATTTCCCGCCAAAAAGCTTCCACTCGTCTACGCCGGGAACGTGAGCAACGCCACGGATGGGAATTTGTGTGTCAGAGGAAGTCTGGATTCGAGCAACTTGAAGGGAAAAATTGTACTTTGCGATCGGGGGGAAAATGGCAGAGTTGATAAGGGCTATGTTGTAAAAGCTGCTGGAGGGGTCGGGATGGTGTTAGCCAATGCGGCCGAACAGGGAGAAGAGTTGGTGGCAGATCCCCATTTACTTCCGGCAACGCACGTGACAAAAAAGTCTGGGGAGGCCATCAAGTCATATTTGTTCCACAATCCTAATCCAACGGCCACAATTTCCTTCACAGGGACGAAAGTCGGCGTTAAACCATCACCTATACTTGCAACTTTCAGTTCTCGCGGCCCTAACACTATCACGCCAGAGATATTGAAACCTGATGTGATTGCACCAGGGCTCAGCATTCTTGCGGGATGGAGTGGGGCCACCAGCCCAACTGGTTTACCAGAAGACCTCAGACGTGTCGAATTCAACATAATATCAGGGACATCCATGTCGTGTCCGCACGTGAGTGGCATAGCAGCTTTGCTTAAAGCGGAGCACCCGGATTGGAGCCCTGCTGCAATCCGGTCTGCTCTGATGACCACATCGTACATAACCTACATGTCAGGTACCCCACTTATAGATGCCGCGACGCGGAAGGAAGCCACGCCATACGACTACGGGTCGGGTCATGTGAACCCCATGTCCGCATTATACCCGGGACTTGTGTACGACATAGACACAAACGGTTACCTAAACTTCATATGCACCTTGAACTACACTTCATCCCAAATTTTCGCACTAACGAGAAAAAACGTCAGCTGTGATGCAAGCAAAAAATACTGTGTCACGGACCTCAATTACCCTTCCTTCGCTATAGTGTTTTCAGATAAGAAATCTTCTATGAAATACACACGAACGCTAACTAACGTTGGAGAACCCGATACATACGAAGTCTATGTTTCTGCCCCAGATTCAGTTGAAATCTTGGTGGAGCCACAAACTCTGAACTTTACTAAGATGGGTGAGAAGAAATCATACACAGTCACATTCAATGCTCTCAAGGTGGTTGCAGGCCAAAGTATGTTTGGGAGAGTTGAGTGGTCTAGTGGGATACAAGTTGTGGCTAGTCCTGTGGCCATTACATGGTCATAGTGATCTCAAACAGCTTGCTAGAGAACTGTGTGTAGAGTCTAAACTTATAATGAATTAGAGATTGTACTAATAAGTTAAAATTAGGGAAAACTGTCAATTTGGTTCTCGTACTATTATGAAAAAATCAATTAGGTCCTTGTACTTTTAAAAAAACCAATCAAATCCCCGAACTTTGTAAAAACATTCAATTGAGTCCATTTACGGGTTACTTGCCATGTCAGCAGGCCACCCGCTGACATGGCGCACACCTGGCAGTCCAATCAACAACACCTTTGCTGACGTGGCACACACGTGGAACTCCAATCATCCCTTTGATGATGATGTGGCGCCCACATGGACCGCCACGTGTGCGCCACGTCAGCGGGTGACCTGCTGACGTGGGAAGTAATTTGCAAATGGACTCAATTGAATGTTTCTACAAAGTTCGAGGATTTGATTGATTTTTTTAAAAGTACGAGGACCTGATTGACTTTTTTGTGATAGTACGAGGATACAATTGACAGTTTTCCCTTAAAATTATCATTACGAGGTGCTTTTGTCTCTAAAAGAAACATATATATACTATGAAACTTTCACATGTAAGGAGTGTTGGGGTGTATCACGTAGGGGTGATAATCGAGTACTTGGATTGCTTAAGGATCATGTAAGTTCACTTTCCGAATTGATATTTCTCCCCTATGCCTCAGTTACAAGAAATTCAATCTAGGATAATCTTTAAGGACACTCTAGAACTTAGGCACAAGAACTAGAGCCAAACTAGTCGAGTATATGGATTGTTATCTTTAATTTGAGTGCCAAAGTGATGAAGATAGGTTGGATATGTTTCCTCCGACTCCTCTGCACGAAATATGGTGATAAATATATATCCATATTCACTGTCCTAGGCAGTTGCAATACGTTTAAGAATAACCGCAGCAGTTTTTTGGAAACTGCTGGAAACTGCCTAACCGTTCTAGAACTCGGTCTAGAACCACAGAGCTGGTCTACTGAAAGTTATACCTCGAGTTCTACCTCGAGTTCCACTAACGTAGACACTTTAGAATTAAACTAGTTCTTATATACAAGTGTGCACTCCACACCTACTAACTTGTATTAGATCATAGTTCTAATTCCCATTGGCACTCATGTCATTTCCAATTACACAAAACGGCCGGTGACACTAAAATCACCAACAAGGAGTAGTTGTGGAAATATGCTTAAACTTCTTAGTCATTTACTCATGGATAATTATCTCATTTATTTAATCTAATTAGGAAGTGATATTTGTATCAGGAAATTTATTTATATGTGATCAAGGTAGATATTTATGGGAGAAAGACATGTATATGACTAAAACATACGCAGCGCTAGCTTGAGGACTTGAGGTAGCTTTCTTCACACAATGGATGCAGTGGTGTTTGTTAACTTGCACATCCATTCTTGTGAAAGCTTCATCCTAATAACGTTCTTCCCCGGAGTTGCTGCCCGCCATTTTTTATTTGGGAATAGTTCAAATGGGATTTGAAAAGTCAACCTGTACTGTTTAAATTAAAGCTGGAGAACTTGTATTAGGGAAAAATCATGAGAGGTACTCCTTCATTGTTACACAGTCATACACTCATACCTATTAAAATTTGTTAGCTTTTTACAACATTTGAGCATGACTAGCTGGACTATAATGTGACCATTTGAAGACCATTTCTCAGTCCCATTTTTCTGTAGAATTGGTATTAAATTCTGTGTGCTGGACTAGCTCAAAAGCTGAGCTACGCTTGAGTACTAGCTATTCATAAGCATTTTTCAGTCATATTTAAGACCATTTCTCAATATTTATAGTCCTAAAATATGACTAATCAACTTAGAGCTCATTTGATGAACTTGTTTTTTAGCTTATCAGTCAACTATATCAATAAAAACATTACTTTTGATTTCGTGCGCTGAATTGTGTCATAATAAAAATAAGTAAGGTTACAATTACTTTTCCGGTTGAAATTACTGTACAAGACTATTTTAGTTTTTTCATACGAAGTATAATTTTTTGTCTATGCTATTAGTAAATTCTGTTTTAAATACTCCGTATAATTTTTTATAATTAATCATTTTAGTCAATTCAGCCACCTCAGACAAAACTGATATGGGGCTTATTATGAATTGATAGTCTAGCTTTAGCTATAACTTCTCAAGTGAGAATCTAATAATAGTAACAATTTCAGTGCTACCAAATGAATTCTTTAACACACTTCTATAGTTCTATATGTGTAATAATTAAATTGAAGGAGGAAAAGTAACATTAAAATACATACCATATATGCAAAACGCCATTAGTTAAAAAAATGCTTAATCATGTTATAGGAATCGACACATATTTACTATGCAAAACGCCATTAGTTCAATACGTTGACAATGGTGGGAGTGATAATTAGTTGGACTATTCCTTTGGTTTTGTTCTTACTAATCAACAAGGGGGATGCACAGCCTCCTCAATCGAATTGGTCCACTCACAACATCCATTTCAAGTTTCAACTAACCACACTATGATAATGTTTTACTATCATTATAAAAAAAAATCTAGATAATATTTTAATATTATTGTACAGTAACTTTTTATCATTATATGATTCCAACTTCATCCGGCCCATTGATGTTTTATCATCTTTTTAATTTTTTATTTTAGAGGATTTATCACACTCAAAAAGTCAAAAACCTACTGCCTCCGTCCCTAAAACAATGTGCTAATTTGACTTAGCACATATTAAGAAAATAAATTTGACTTCACATTGCACCGACACTGTTTGGCAATGTTTGACAATGTTTTGACACTGTTTTGCACGGTTTGACACTGTTTGATATAGATTTATTCACTAAATAAGAAAGTTAAGGAAGTGAGATTTTAATTTAGGGATTTTCCAAAAAGGAAAGTGAGAAGTTGTTTTAGGAACGGAGAGGAGTATAATATTTCAAAAAAAAAAAAATTAAAGATCAATGGCAAAAGCAATAGCTGGGTAAAAATGCACCACTCCTTGGAATGGAAATGTTTTCCCTGGGCCAATGATAAAGCTGGAGCATGTCGCATACTGTGTAATTTAAAATAATAAGTTTATGACTAGATTCTATACTGGCATAACCCCGTTTTGAAACGGCACAACAGGACAACAAGATGCTGAAAACAATTTTTTTTTTTTTGAAAATTACATGCTTTTTTAAGAAGTTGAAAATTACATGCTGAAAACATTAAAAATTTAAATACTTTAATTTAAGAGTATAGAAATGCATTTAAGAAGAACAACAGATAGAACATAACAAAAACACCTAATTTTTTTTTCAGTCTAGCATTCAAACATTATTTGATAAAGCAAAGCAGTTGAATTACAATAGTTATAGGCTTCGAGCTAGCTACCATTCAAAATATTTTAAATAGTAAACTAATATCAAGTTACAACTTTCATCCAAAAAAAAAGTTACAACTCGATATAGCCCGTGCTTTTAACCGGTTTCAACCGCACTAGCTCCAATTAATTTAAAAATGCATCAAACCACACTGTGTTATAATTATTCTCGGATAAAACTCTTCTCAAGTACATATTGAATTGCCAAGTGAATGGAAAATAATTAGTACTTTTGCATGATATAGAGATCTTGACAAATTTATATGGATATTCAATCGATAAGTGATTTCGAAATTGTTAGATTTGTTCTTAGAAGGGATTTTGCGAATGAATAGTTAGGATTGTAAGGTGTTAGAGACTGTATAACCAAGCTCATTTCGTCGATCCAACTTGAAGGACTGCATTGATGTTGTTGCTGCTGCAACAAACGAAGTGGATTTGTGGCCGAAATTTTTTGGGTCCGTTTCTAATGGGCACGAGTTTTTTATTCTGCTTGGGCCGCGCGTCCTGTTCTGTTTGTGCTGGGGTTAGGGTTTTAATACAAGCTCTCTCCTTGTGATCATTGATCCGAAATTAATAGCAATATCCTGGCTTGGTAGCGCCTCTAGACGTAGTCATTCATGGCAAACTGGGTTACCCAATTTCGTGTGGTCTTCTTATTGTTTTCGTGTTGCGTGAGTTTAATCTTAACAAGGACTTAATGCATCAAACCTTCTCGTGAAATATAAATTCGGCGTCTTAGCCCTTTGTGATTTAAAAACTACGTCAAACCCTTTTGCGATATAGTTAACCATGTCTAAAACCCCTTATATGAACAAATTTAATTGTCAAATATATGAAAAATGATTAATATTTTTGTGTAATTGAGAAACCTTGACAAAGTTACTTATAATCATATTATTAAAAAAAGTGATTTCAATATTATAAAATTTGTTTTTGGAGGGAGTTTTGTGCATGAATAATTGTAACACATGGGAATCAAACACTTTTTTTTAAATCACATGGACTAATGCGCCGAATTTATATATCATGAGGATGTTTAGTGCATTAAACCCTGAATAGTTATAATATAAGAAGGTTTGAGGAAATTTTTAAATCACTTTGATGTAATGTGCCAAATTTATATATCAGAAGGGGTTTGATGCATTAAATCCTTTCAAACTTGAATTTCAATAGTCTATCTCTGATTGTGGAGCATAGTTCTTATTGCTTGGTCAAAAGCAACAATTTTATTTAGTACTTCCTCCGCCCGGCTAAGATTGTATCATTATTTCCTTTCGGGAAATCCCAAACTCCCATTACAAATTTAATAAAGTTTGTGTGCCTCTAAATTTTTTTTACTTTATTCTTATTTTATCAATTCAATATCAACTACACTCATTCATTTTTTTAATAACTGTGTCACCTTTTCGTGTCTCAATATTAGTGAGACGAAAGTAGTACTTCTACAATTTATTGATTTAATTGTGTCATGTATTAGAGGAATGCACGATTTGTTGAACCTAGGACATGTATAAATCACATGTTAATCTTGATATTACTACTGTTTCGATAAAGTTTACTCAAAAATTGTGTTTAGCTTCACAAAAGTTCTTGATGAATGAGTTTTTAATAATGGATCTAAATAGTACTAAATAGAAATATAATTGTACAAATAGGACTAAAACTTAAGGACATGTTTACTAATAGAGATATTTTCTTGTTTTCTACTTCTGTTTTTCGTTCTCCGATTTTCTGTTTTTATTTTTTCAATTTTTCTATCTCCAATTTTCCGTTTCTATTTTTTAGTCTTCCATTTTCAAATCTGAAAACATGTTCATCAATTTTTTCACCCAGTTCTGTGATCATCCAGAAGACTGAGGACACGTTTACTTCACGAGTTACTAAATGGTGCTTATTAAGACCCGCGTTAATAAGCGGCGCATAAAATAAGCAATGTTGTAAGATCATGTTTACTTCAAAAGGTTTAAAACACCGTTTAACATTAAAATGTCTAAAATAACCCTATACATATATAGACACTCAAACATTCATGAACACAAATATATAATATAATATGTGGGATCGATCACCCCGTACGTGTACCCATACCTCTAACCCCTACCCCGCCCCTATACTTCGTACCCCCACCCTACATCCTACACCCAATTCCACACCCTTAACCCTACCCCTACCCTTACCACGATCTTACACTCTACCCATACTCCCTTACAACCCTTCATACCCACCCATATTTACTCGTAGGGGTCGGTGTCATGCACGCCCCAAACCGCAATCCAAGAGCGTGTACAACCGCCGTATAATCAAGTGACGTCACCAGCGAGTCAACCTCACTTAATTACACAAGGCGTTCGAGAAAATAATCCATCCATACTCAGTAGTAAACATACATAACAACATCACATTTAAACCAATGAATAGCGGAAATATTCAACGGTAAGTCATAAGCCACAGCCGGCCAACAACATGGGCATGCAAGCCCCAAAAATAGTTTGTAGTAGAACAAATATCCATGAGCAAGTGTTCGGTAGTTTGAAAGAAAATAAG